TGAAAAACAAAGTCAACATTTAAAATTTGGGAGAGGAACATAATAAATCAGAATTTCTAGTTTATCTTGAAAAACTGATAGATCGGACCAGGTCAGAGTAGAACAGTGCGGCTGTCCTCTTTAGGTGTGGTACTCGCTCCCCCAGTGAATGTATATGGGCTATATACTAGCCGCTCAGGCCACTTAGGTTACTTCCTTACTTCTAGGTGCATCTCTCTGTAATTCTCTACCTGGGGGTCTCAGGTGATTGCAAACTCAAAATAAGCCAAGGATGTGACAGGGCTGCTGAAAATCTCACCAACCTCCACACAACCGAACAACACATCAGTGGCTCTGAACTTTCGAGGAGTCAAACACAACTCAGAATTCAATGAGTCTTCTCTTCAGAAATATGTTTGTGCATATAAAAATTTATAATTAATGCCAGGAAACTGGTAGAGCCCCTGAAGGACCCCAGCTGAGAATAAGGTGTCCCTCTGTATGTTCATATAGTATGTCTGCCCCTGGGAATTATGCTTTATGAGGATATCTAGAGCCGGGGATTTAGCTCAAGGGCACAGCACCTGCCTGGTAAAGGTGAGGTCCTGAGTTCAATTCCCAGTCACCCCCCAACACACACACACAAAGAGGATATCTAGAGCAAAGCAACCAGAACTATAAAGGGTCTAGAAATTATAAAGTTCAGGAAACTTAAAATAGCTAGGTTAGAAAAGGAATGCTTAAAAAGGAACATAATAACTATTTTAAATTTCAGAAGTAGTAATAAGGAAAGCAGATTAGTCTCACACTGGTCCAAATGGCAGAACTAAGATCAACGAGGAGCTACAATAAAGTCTATTTTACCATCTCAGTTGAATCCAAGAAAGAAGTTTCTTATAATGAAAGCTGTGCAAAACTGGAATAGTCTGGCCTATCAACCAATGAAGTTGTGAGTGCCCTATCACTGTAAGTATCCAAACTTCTACAGGATAATGAAATGTCAGAGAAGATATATAAAGAGTTCCCAAACTATGCGGAAGCTTACACTACAATTATCTAAGCCTTCTTCCAAATCAAAGTTTGAGTGAGCAGAATTGTAAAGGGCAATAATAATTCTGTTCTCCTCCCAAACTTAAGTCATGCTTTATTCAAAGAAAGAGCCGCACTGCAGCCATGCTGCACTCAAGGGACAGAAACCCAGCGGCTAAGCCTCACTTGGTGATTCTCGGTGAGTCCCTGGGAATTGGTGAAGGTTGGCTACTCACACATTTTTACATGCCTTCTCTTTCTTCCCCTGCCCCATGCTTCTGTTCACCTCTCTTCCTACCTACCTTCAAGTTGTCTGTCTTAATTTTGGGGAAGCTGTATAAATTTCATCGCATATCAGGTCATGTGCTTGTTGAACTGACTCATTTTATCCAAAAAGTTTCAAACATATGGGCATTTAATTAAAGCTGCGGACTGATGATTTCAACAGATAAAAATGTGGAGGATTCAGTGCCATATTAACTTTGTAAGAGAATCAGTCTGGTTAAAAGAGGTCACAGACTAGACCAGTTCAAGTTGGCCCACAGAGGTGGTGGTCAATAACCAAAGGTACTCCAAAACATTTAGCACAGTGCTACCCAAGCAGCTGGTATTCTAGTTTTTTTGTTTTTTGTTTTTTGTTTTTTTTGGAGACAGGGTCTTGCTATGTAGTTCAGGCTAGCCTTGAACTCACTTTTTAGCTTAGGCTGGCCTTGAACTCACAATGATCCTCCTGCTCAGCCTCCTGAGTGCTAGGATTACAGGTGTGCAATACCATGCACAGCTTCTAGAAATTTCAAGAAACTAAAGAGGAGGCTGGGGATTTAGCTCAGCAGCACAGTGCCTGCCTGGCAAGCGCAAGGTCATGAGTTCAATTCCCGGTACTGGAAAAAACAAAAAAAAAAAAAAAAAAGAAAGAAAGAAACTAAAGAAATGGCCTCATTGTGTCTTCAATTTCTTACTCACTCTTGCCCAGAAATAATTTTTTAAAAGAACTTAAAAAAAAACTTTTCTGCTAAGTATATAATATGAAGTAAACACATTCCCCTTAATTACAGATTAAAAAAGCACATCTGTGCTAACTGAACACAATTAGGATTAAACTTATGAAAGGAAAACTTCCTTTTATTCCATCTTGCTGCTCCTGAGTGTTTCTCAAAAGCTGAGGAAACAAGTTCTGAAAGCAAACTGTGTCTGTGTTCCAGGGAAGAGGGGAACACGGGGCCTCGTGACCTATAAAAATCAGTAGTTTGGAACATCCATAATTCTCCCGAGTCTGTGCCAGTCAAACAGAGACTCCCTTCAGCAAACCACCAGCCAGCCAAGGCTGAAGAGTAAAGCTTTCTTCCCTAGGAGCTGACAAGGACAGGACCCAAAAGCTCCCTGAAAAAAAAAAAATCTCAACCTAAGCTTACATTACAAACTGCTGGAAAAGTCAGATGGAGGGGATGACAGGAAAAGCGATTATTTCTTCTGGGCTTCCTCTCTGTCTGGATTTTAAGGAGACGAATACAAAATTCCATCACAGATTGAAATGCTATCTGAACATTCTTGAAAACGTGGTCTTTCTCTCTGAAATATGACCCACTTTGCTGCAGCAACCTGTAACCAACTACCACGTGAAGGTGGGGAGTGGGACATCCCTGCAGCCTCCTATTTCTGTGCCTGCCTCTTCGATACTGCCACTTCATGATCCAGGAGCTAAATGTACATAACTAAAAAATAGATGTCTACAGAGCATGACCCAACAAAAAGCCCCAATGAGCCACTTTATTCTCACATTCTTGGAATTTTAAACACCCAAAACTCTCTTAAGTGCAATAGTTCAATGTTTTTGGTGAGCCATTCTAAATGCAGGCTGACTCAAACTAAGCAGTGACGTTACTCCAAATAGTAGTAAGGCCAAACTAGTCATGCACAAGTCAAGGGTCGGGGTGCGGCTCAGAGGTAAAGTGCTTCCTTAGCGTGGGTAAGGGCCAGGCTCTAGCCCCAGCACTAGGGAAATCAAAAAATACAAGATTCCCTATGTAAGAATCAGGCTTTAAAATCATTTTAAAGGAATACTCAAGTACTGATTAAACGGTTTTTATGATCAAGGGCTTTTGTTTGTTTGTAATTAATAATTTTATATACACCAAATAATACAGTTTGAATAATATGTTACTGCATGTGCATTACATGTATTGAAATGCAAAAAAAGGAAAGACAGAGCTTTTATCTTCGATGAGCTTAAAAACTACCATAGTTAAGGGGACAAGATGTGTTCTCCAGTTGGTCAAGGGAGACCGTACCAGCCAAAGGCAAAGCACAGTAGAAGGATGTGAGAGCCCACAAGCAGACAGAACACACATCTCAATGAGTGACACTGGGATCAATTTTGTTCTCTGCAGAATGAAAGGAGTGGGCCAGACAAATTCTAATTCCTTTAAGCACTAAAACTGATTTCTTCGGTGTTATCCAAATGAAGTAACCAGAAAAAATCATAAAAGTAGTATTAGAGCTGGCCCTTAAATGGGTAAGATTTTGAAATGTGGCTACTGAAAGTGAAAGGAGAAAAAAACTTTCAGGCACAAAGAAGTACCTAAGCATAGACCCAGAAAGCACATAGCATGTTTCTAGAACATGGGTAAAACACAAGAGAAGACAAAATCAGAAATACAGACCAAAGCCTTGAATGGTGAACAAAAGATCCTGGATTTCATGTGGGAAGTCAAAAGGCCTTGAAGGTTTCTGAAGAGGGAGATGACGTGATCAGACATATATTAGAAAGGTTGATCAGCCAGGAGTGTTGCTGAGATACCCTGTTCCTTTTTATTACCTCCAAGGGCCCCATTTACCTGGGGCATGGCAGCTAGAGAAACAGTGCTCCATGGGAGACACCCTGGTAGACAAAACCAAAGCAGTAAGGACTAAGGGCTACGCAATGGGATTCCAATAATGAGGTTCCTTTTAAGAACCCAATATGTCTATAAATAAATAGGCTAACAGAAGAAGACTATTAAGAGGAAAAAAGAGTCATAAAAAGAGAGCTGGATAAAATTACAAATATAAAAGAGAGACACACAACACCTGTGAGTCACGAGAGAGGGAAACAGGTATATTAGAGATGAGAAAATTTCCACATAGATCACATCCTTCCCCTCGCCTCAAATCTAGTTAGCATAATAAACATTTTCAGAAATCACCTATCCTAAAAAACTCAAAGACAGCAAATAACAACTGAAGCGATCGCAGTGGTGCACTCGTGACCTAACTGAATTAACATTGGAAAGGGAGGACCAGACACAGTAAGAGGAAGGCGAGAAAGGCATGCTCAGCATTTCTGTTATGACAGCAATTTCTGAAATATGATGCCTAAACACAAAAACAGAATCCAAATAAAAAAGAAAACGGCTAATAGATAACATCTGGCCTCTCAATCATTGAAGAATATCTCCTCCCCACACACTTCTTTTTCCCTTCATTCACCTCTCAACAGCTTTCCCTGACTAGATCCAAAAAGACCCGTAAAACTGAAATGAGTCTACAGTTACCTGTTTGCTGGCAAGCTAGGTAAAAGGAATTGTAGCTACAGCAGGCAACTTTCTTTCGCAGCAACAAAATAGCAAAACTGCAACAGAGCTGATAGACAAAAGCAGTGACCTCATTTAACCACAGACACAAAATAAAGAAGGGCACAATAAACATCAAACACTCAGGTGGAGGACAAGGAAACTTCAGTTTGCTCACTGCAGCCTGCATGTCCCAGACCCAGCTGAGCTGTGCTGAAGTCCTCGTCCAAGGAACACTGAGTTGAAAGCTCACGGCCAGTCTGGGCAGCCTGGCCGGGCGGAGTGCTGGGAGGGGTGGGAAAGTCACATGTGGTTCCTGCTGTGCATGGGACACATCCATAAGAAAGTGCTCTGTGAGCAGACAGATCAACATTTTGGCCGCTTGGTGTTGGATCTTAATGAAATAAGAGAAATGTAATCAACACAGAGGAATAAGTTACTTACTTGCCTTCCATCCTGTCCCACATTTGTCTGACCTCTTACAACAGTTCGAATATTGTCATCCAGTCTCCTAGCAAAAAAGTTAAAGGATATAAATCAAATGATCTCCATTCTGGTGGGCCAAAAGAAAAAAGTTAGTGATTTATACATCAATTTTTTTGTTGTTCTTTCAAGACAGAGTCTTGGTATGTAGTTCAGACTGGCCTTGAACTTGAAATGATTCTGCTGCCTCTACCTCCTAAGTGCTGGGATGACAGGCCTGCACCACCACGCCCAGCTTATCTATCAATTTTTGCAGACTCCAGCTACTCATTCACAAAACCAAGCAAGTGTGATGATAGAAGAATGAGGCCTTGGACAGGCAGGTGTGGTGATGCACATTTCTGATCCCAGCACTATGGCAGGCTGAGGCAGGAAGGTTGTGAGTTAGAGCCCAGCCTGGGCAACTTAGTGATTTAGTGAGATCCTGTCTCAAAATGATCATGATGATAGATGGCAATTTTTATTGAACAGAGTTCTCCAAAAGGACTGATAAAACTTTAGTACTATTCACGGAGTAAATCAGGATTGACAGCAGGCATGGTGGCACATGTCTGTAATCCCAGCACTGAGGCAGGAGGGTCACTGTGAATTTGATGCTAGCCTGGACTACACAGTGAGTTCAAGGACAGCCTAGACTACATAGCAAGACCTTGTCTCAAAACAAAAACAAACAAACAAAAAACAGAAAAACAAACAAGGAATGACAAAGATGTAGAAGTTTTAAAGGAATAAGCTGAGAATTCAAATTACCACCACAAAATTCCAAATTCTTTTCTCTCAGGAGACCATGAAAGGGTTAAGAAGCCAGGGTAATATGAAATTAGTACTTACTGATTATGTGGCCTGATATGCAACATGTATGAAACAGATGTATGGCTTCTGGATCCTCTTTTCCCTGAGGCTCAACAGGGGCCATAGAATGGTACCTCAACAGGATTTCTATTGGTCAGTTTCATTCCTCATGAAAGGTATGGTAGTGAGAAGGTGATCACGGGATCATCAAGAAATTTCCACTTTCTTTGCAAAACCTTGGATAACATAGTGGTCTCCACTAGAATTGTTACAGCTGAAGTCCAACAAAACAGTAAGGAACTAGCCGGGCACAGTGGCACATGCCTGTAATCCCAGCACTCAGGAAGCTGAGGCAGGAGGATTGCCATGAATTCAAGGACAGCCTGTGCTACATAGTGAGTTAGAGACCAGCCTGAACTGCAAAGCTGAAATGTTGTCTCAGAAAACCAAAAATTAAAATAAAAATAAACTAAGAAAAGAAGGAAGGAAGGAAGGAAAGAAGGAAGGACGGAAAGAAAGAAGGAAGGAAGGAAGGAAACAGGAAACTTCTTTGCACCTTTGAGACAGGGTCTCACTATGTAGTTCAGGCAGCCATCCTCCTGCCTCAACCTCCTGAGTGCTGGGATTACAGGTGTGTGCAACACCATAGCTGGCCTTCTTTGCACTTCTAAGCCACCAATGAAAGAATACATTCATAGGGCAAAGGTCTTCACTGAAAGACCCAAAGGATATAGGGCAAAAATTCATCTCTTGGACTCAAAATGAATACTTTCATCAACAATTAAAAATAAACACAAAAACCCAAAACTATATCATGTGACGTAATTTAAGGAAGGTAAGGAAATCAACCTATTTAGATAATGAACTGACATTTGTTGATGAGTACTTTCCACATGTCAAAACCGTAAACTCAAGACATGCGTAAGCCAGAACAAGGGTATTGGGCAAGGATGCTAATGGTCACCTTGGACAATCCCATTTCGGGTTAATTCTGTTTAATCCTGGACCACAAGCCAGGTCAACTAGTAGACCCACACTATAAGCCAGGAGGTAACCAAGAGATACATGTGTAAGCCCAGCTCCACATCTGACCTTTGACAATACAAAAAAGGTAAATCTACTAGGGAAGGGAAATCACTAAAAAATATTATAGTGCTGTACATCTATAATCCCAGCACTCAGAGGCTGAGGCTGAAAGATCACCATAAGTTTGAGCCTAACATGGGGAAGATTGTCTTAAAATCTAAAAATTTTAAAAGGGGATGGAGCTATATAGCTCAGTGTGAAGATTGTGGGTTCAAGCCCCAGAAACAAAAAAAGAAAAAAAATTGTAGAAAAGCTCTTGTCTTTTATGATTAACTGTTTTGAATGAGCTGTTAGAGCTTCTTTCCTTTTTTATGAATAACGAAAACTGGCCACAGAATAAAGTTCCTTGCCACAGAGCTCGTATGGAAACTCAGATAAAAGAATTACTATTTTTTTTAATTTGAGGTTTCAGAGCTCTGTGTGATTCCAGTTATGACTTCAAAGTGATTAAATTAACAATATACTTCTCATTAACAATCATACAAGGCTGAGGATACAGCTCAGCGGCACAGTGCCTGCCTAGTAATCTCAAGGCCGTGAGCTCAAGTCCCAAAACCACAAAAAAAACCTCCCAGAACATACAGTGTGACTTACCTTATTTTCAGTCTAATTTTGTTCACGACTTCATCTATATTTGCCAGAGACTAAGATAAAGAAAAAAAAGTGCTCTGCTGTTATTTCACCTCCTAGATTTCCTCTCTCACAGGAAAATGATGAGCTATAAAGGTTATTTATGAAATCTCAGTCAGTTTAATCTCACAGTATTATATCATTGTACAACAGAAGTTGCAACCTATCGCCAAATCATGCCCAGCATCTATTTTTTATAAATAAAGTTTTATTGGAACACATTCATTTACATATTATCTATAACTGCTTTTTAGGCTAAAATAACAAAGTTGAAAAGTTTTGACAGATACAGCATGGCTCACAAAATATGTATGAGCTGTATGTTTGCAGAAAGTTGCTAACTCACAGTATACAGGATTATAACAAATTCATTAAAACAAAGAAAATGGATGAACTATTAGAACACATAACAATGACATAACACAATGTCACAAAAAAAAGGCCAGAACCAAAGGCATATACCATACAGTTGCATTTATGCAGTTCAAAAACAAGTGAAACTATTCTCTTATGTCAGAAGTCAACTTGGTGCTTACCTTTGGAGAAAGCAGTGACTGTGAGGTAGCAAGAAAGGCCTTCTAAAAATGTGTTATTTCTTGATCTGAGTGGTGGTTACAAGGCTGTATTCATTCAGTGAAAATTCATCAAGTTGTTCACTTTAGATCTGTATACTCCTCTATGTTATACTTCAACAAATAAATTTACTTTTTAAGTATAGACATCCACTGGAAAAAAGTGTGGACCGATACATACTAGTAGGGGTAATATACTAGTAGCTGAAATCTGCGCTCGTAGTTCTAAATCAATGAAAAGGGTTTTGAAATTTTCCTCCTTTTGTCTATGAGTATTTTCAAATGCTCATATTAACTATGTGCTACTACGATTACAATAACTTTTTTAAAAAGATAATGAGAAAACAAATGGGCCACTAGAGATGAGAAAGTGTGGGGAAATGGTGCCTCCTAGTGGATGAGAGAAGGAACAACTTTATAGTACCATTTAACTCAAAATTTTCCAAAATAGTTTTGTAAATCCTTTTTTTCTCAGAAGGAATTGGAAGTGGTACAGGAAGTGTGCTTATAAATTGTTACCCACTGCCTCTGGGGGCAGGGGGAGGCTGAGAGTCTTCCAGGTGCAGTTCTGGTAAGAGAAACAGATCTCTAATGTTTCAAATGTCATACTTGTTACTATTCTGATGGACCCAATAGTTACTCAGAATATTCAGAAAACCAGAAGTAGTCTGGGGTAATGATGAATCTCAAAAGAGAAGCTGCTTTAACTGAGGAATCCAGTTCAACTGGATTCAATTCAATTCTCTCAAGCTTGTCACTTCGAAACTGGACTGGGTATAATTTAAGTCACTACCACCAGTGTTAATAGCAGACCCAGTTGTCAAGGATCCGAGGTCTGGCCAACCTGTACCAATTCTAATTTGCTGTCGGGAAAGCTGTTCAACCTTTCTTTTTCTATTTTGTCATATGCAAAAGAGGCATAACAGTTCCTGGCCTGCCTGTCTCTGCTGGAGCCCATTTTAAAAGAAACCTTTCTTTGGTTTTTAAAAGAAACCTTTCTTTGGTATTTAAAAAATGTTAGTATTTGGGAAGTCTGGGTAAGTACTATTCTCATATCTTTTCTGAAAATAAGAACTCCTATCAAAATTGTATAATTTATACACATATATACAATTATTGTAATAAATGACTTTAATTACAAATATAAAGTATTTGCAAGCTGGGCATGGTGGCATATGCCTGTAATCCCAGCACTCTGGGAGGCTGAGGAAAGAGGATCACAAGTTCAAGTCCTGCCTGGGCAACTTTGTAAGACCCTGTCTTAAAATTTAAAAATTATTAAATAGGGAGATGGGAATTTAGCTCTGTACAAAGGGTCTTGGTTCAATCCTTGGTACTGGGGGAGGGGGAGTAAACTATTCAAAATTGTTAAAACATGTACAGCAGCAAAGATTAAGATAGTAAAAGATGATAACCTAGATACAGTGACACATGCTTATAATTCCAGCATTTGAAAGGCTGAGGCAGGAGGATTTTGAGGTCAGCCTACACTATAAAGTGAGACCCTAGCTTTAAAAAAAAAAAAAAAAAAGAGTATACAGAAGTGATGGTGAACTTTTTTGAGCTTTCAATGATACAAACAGCCTGCTGTGGCACGCATGTCATAGGTTTGCCACCACTGGTAAATAGTAAAATCCACGGGCCCCTCTCACGGGGGGCTAAACCTGAACTGCCTGAACCCACCTACACTTGTTCTCTTTCCCAGAGGTAATGACTCTGAGCCAGTTCCTCTTCTACTTTCTCACAGATAGTCGATGTGTTAAAAGGATACCCATAAGTGTACTATACCATGTTTTTTTCACTTAATATTACTTGGAGGTCATTCCACATCAGTAAATATTGCTACTGGTACACTCCTTAAATTTAATAATCCTTAGACATGAAGCGGCTAAGCTCTACCAATTTTTCTAAGAGGAATAATCCAGAATATTTATGCAGTCAACAACATTTAGGATAGAAAAGACACGGAGATATTCTAAGGTCTTATTAGTGGAAAAGGTAAATAAACTAGGCTATATTCATTTAGTGGGCTTTTTCACCACTCCTAGAGACCTTGGTCAGGGAGGTTATGAAACATTAGAGAAGATTGCTTTTGATCCCATGCTAACATAGGAGAAACACTTTTTAAATATGAGGTACTCCATGAATATAGTTATTAAAAGAACAGAAAGAAATACCCTAAAAATTAATAATCACCCTGTTACGTGGACTCATAGGCAAATGCTTTTCCTCTATTTTCCAGATTTTCTACTGAGGAAGCAAAAGGGAAAGCGTGCAAACATATAACAAGGGTTCATTATGAAACTGTTCCGGATACTTCACAGAAAGTATTCCCTTAATCCTCTAAGCTATACTAGGCAAACTATTATCTTCCTCAATGCTAGGATTTGAGAAATAGCCTTAAAAGGCTGGACACTTTGTCTGAGGTCATGGAGATGACCTGCCGCATAGCTGGACTCAGTGAAGTCTGTCTGACTCCAAGATCTCTGCTCTTCCTCTCATGCAGCGGTTCGTTTATTTGTTGTTATTTTGGAGTTTTCTGTTGTTGTTGTTTTTAAAGACAAGTTCTTACTATGTAGCCCAGGCTAGCCTCAAACTCATGATCCTCCTGCCTCAGTCTCTCAGGTGCTGGGATTACCGGTGTACGCCCCACATCTGGCATGCAATGTTTCTTGACCTACTTTTTCTCCACCCCAAAACACCAGACAGATAAAACCCACTCCTGCCTCCCTTTGCAGGAATCCTCTCTGCACTGGAGTTGGAAAAAATCCCCACTGGAATCCAGATGGGTTATTTAGATGGATGTGGTACAGCCTCTGAGAATCACTCCTCTGGTTTAGTTGTAATGGTTGTATAATTTTTTCTGTATAGCTTTTCAAATGCTTTGATTATTGAAAGATACTTCTTGATTTTAATGGTAAATCATGCTGATTGTAGAAAATATAGAACATAGGTAAAATCATCCTATGCTCCCAGGAGGGTATAACCACTACAGGTATTTGTGTATGATGCCTACTCTATTTCTTCTATGAAAATGTATAGTGCTTTAAAAGTAAATTGGGATAATTTGGCTTTTTTTTTTCTTTTAAACACTTCCCTTTTTAAAGTTTTTAATTAAACTAGCTCTCTATTTTTGATCGAGGCTTCTGATGTTGTCCAGGATAGTCTTGAATTCTTGGACTTTCATCATCCTCCTGCCTCAATCACCCAAGTAACTAGATTATACTGAAATTATAATATTTTTCACAAATTTCACCTAGTTTCCCCTAATCAAACATGACAAATGATTACCTTCAGCTCACTCCAGCAGACTAAAAAGGGTTTCCAGAGCATTGCTACCAAACCAGGTTACCCTTCAGAAGCAGGCAGCACAGGGCGCTCTATCAACTATAGAAACCTAGGCTTCCTCCCCCATCTGACCCAGATGAAACAGTGACCTGAACCTCCAGGGACCTGTCCCGGCCCACAGTTCATCCTCTAGGCAACAGACACACAAGCACACACCACTCAACAGAAATACAATCACACCCTCTCCCTAGAGTGACACTAAATCTATTCGTGATGTATTAACATTTTAAACAATATAAACACATAATTAACCAGTATTTATTGTGAGGTACATGAATGGCTTTTGCCCAAAATTTAGCAATAGTTTAAAAAAATCATAAGGTCACTACTTTCTACTGCTTTTTTACTAAAGCCCATGGGAATCTAGATTGACAGATAACTGGTAAGTGTAACTCTGGGACCTGGGAAATAAAGGTAACCCTGTGTGATACACTTCCTAAGTGACACTAAGAAATTTCACTATATATTATCATGTACATGGAGGCATCTAACACATAATTAGAAAAGACATGACTGGAGCTGTAGAACAGTAAATGCCTTGTACTACCTTCTGTAGTTTAAAAAATAAATACATACTATCATTTTAGGAAGAGGTGAGAACCTAGGGGTTTCCTATGTAAATTTCAAATCTAACACTTTGTTTTGCTGAGTCAGCATTCTCGATAGACTGGGATAAGTGAAACACTTAACATAGCTAAAACTGCTATCTTTATGCAAGTTGTTACCAAATGTGTATCTCTGGCTAAACCTAAAATTCTCTTTTCATAGAAAATGTTGAGCTATAACTTCTATCTGTGAAATCTCCACAAAGACAATTACACAGTTTATCATTTTTAAATTTTTATTTAAAAAAAGTAGTATGTCCATGCTAAAATGTTGAGGGGGGGTGCAGTTGAATAGGAGGAATAACTTCCAATGTTCTATAGAACAATAAGATTATTGTTAATAACAATTAATTACATATTTTAAAACAGTTTTAGAGAGGACTTTGTATTCCCAAAATAAAGCAATGATAAATGTCTGAGGTGATACACATGCCAATCGCTCTGATCTGATCATTACATGTACTACAATGTCACACTGCCTCCCATGAATATGTACAATTACTGTGTCAATTAAAAATAAAAATGTATTTAAAAAACAGCCAAGTGCACCAATGAAAAAGAGATAATCTTGTTATTAACTCAAAAAAAGAAAGTTTGAATGCTATATGTCCAGACGTTTAAGACCCAGATTGTAAGCTCCACACTCAAAGACCCATCTATAGATTTCTACCTGCATGGTACAAATGTGTTCGAAACTGAGCTCATGTCTACACTCTCCTCTGACCCTACTAAATGCTGAGACTTGCTCTTCCTCCCTACTCTCAGCACTGGGGGAGATGCCAACACCTACCCAATGTGTCAGGCTAGAATTCAAAGTTCAGAATCCTTTATTTAGCCTATAATGCTTCCTGTCTCCGCAGGAAAGCCTCTTCATATTCTTCCGGCGGCCTGTTCCTCTTCGTGGAAGTGCTACCACATTTCAATTGAGTGCCTTTATCTCTCTGTGCCTCTTTACTCCCACCAGAAAATAAGAATGATAGCAAAGTGGAGATTTCGTCGTTGTTAAGTGCTTAGCATGGTGCTTGGTGCACAGTAAACATCCAATAAATGTTTACCATTTTTATAGCTGTAGTAGAACTCAGAACTCTTTATGAGCAAGTAACAATAATGATACAAACAAGTCACTGTAACTTCATAATTTACTTATATCAGTAAATTGTGCAATTAATTATTAAGAGAGACTATAAGGTCTATGTTGGTAAGGACCTCATACCTCTATTCATAATGTTTTCTTTTTCTTTTTCTTTTTTTGTGCTAGGGATTGAACCCAGGGCTGCTGAGCATGCTAAGCTGCTGTGGAACTGTACTCCCCCTGCTCAATCTCTCTTTTTTTTTTTTTTTTTTTTTTTTTTGCCTTTTTGAGACAGGGCCTCACTATACAGTTCAGGCTGCCCTTGAGCTCACTTTATAGCCCAGGCTGGCCTTGAACTCGCAGTGATCCTCCTGCCTCAGCCTCCCGAGTGCTCCCCTGCTCAATTTCTTATACAGGTAGGCAGAGTGGGTATTTTTGTTGTTGCGGAATTAATGAATTTTAGATTTTGCAGGCTCTTCAAGTGCATCCCTTCAGGAACAAAACTGACTTCTGCATCCTCAGTTCTCAGATCGAGTTCTCTGTTCCACTGCCTTCACTCAGCTTCTTATCTCTTTGCAGTGACTCAGTGCTTTTCCCTCCTAACTGATCATCCTGCCTCAAGTCCTGCCTCCTGTGACCCCTGTGACTCCTTTTCCCTCCTCTTTCCTGAAGATTTACCTAGCCACTCTCTCTGCCTAGAATAGTGTTCCACCCAACTGCTACAAGCCTGGCTCCTATGTATCTATCAGGCCTCAGCATAAAGGGAACTGCTTCAGTGACAGCTTCCCTTTTAGTCCTTTTAATCTTCCTTTATTGGAAGGACCCCGACCCGTGCCATCAGACCCTATCATTGCATCTGCATTTCATCACATCATTAACCACACTTGATAATCTCTTGTCTATTCATTTGTTAATTTGTTTTGTCTTCTTTCCCACTCTAGACCCCATGAGACCAGGAATTAAACTGCTGTGTTGGCCATTTTTTACTCAGTTTTTAAAAGGAGGACTCACAATTAATAGACACTTTATAAATGATTGCTGAGTTTGACTGAACTGAATGAACAAATAAATCCTTTAAGACATGACAGAGGGTTTTCCTGAGGTTTTGATTTTCCTAGTAAGAACCATTCTTTTTCTCCTCATTGTACTGTCTGCATACCTCCCTTACAGCATTCAACTGTGTCTCCTCATACGTGATCATGCACACCTCAAGAGCAAGGTTTGAGTCCCTGGAACCTGGGACAGTGACTGACCACACATAACTGGCATCCACTGAATGTCTGCTGAATGAATGAAAAATCAAGTGGAACTCTAGCTCTCCTTTTGCCAACTCTGCTACTTCTAATTCTGGTCTTACTGTAAGAAAAACATCTATCCAGGCAAATCACCCCACAAGACAGTAACAGGTTGGATGCAGTGGCACACACCTGTAATCCCAGCATTCTGGGAGACAGAGGCAGATGGTTCTCAAGTTTAAACCCAGCCTGGGCAACACAGCAAGATCTTGTCTCAAAATACAAAATAAAAATGGCTGGGGATGTAGTTTAGCACTCCATCTAAAAATTTACATTTTTAAATAGGAGCGAAAGTTGCTTATGACTCGAGGCTTATCCTGACTGACTCACAAACAGTTTTTCCTTATTACAAAAATCCTTCCTACTTTCCAATTTACAACACAGTTTGATGGAAGGAGTACTATTAAAACCTAAGGATATAATTTCTAGTAATATGATCACTAAACAAAGAATTCTACTCTAACACAATTATATAGCTGACCTAATTGATTACACTAGAATTTTTTGGATTTGGGGGTGTTTTGTCTTTTTTTTTTTTTTTGGTGAGACAGGGTCTTCCTGAACTCACCACGTGGCCCAGGCTGGCCTTTAACTCATGGTGATCCTCCTGTCTCAGTCTCCCGAGGACTGGGATTATGGGTGTGCACCACCATGCCCAACTTACAGTAGAGTTTGATTTCAAACTAACACTCACTTTTCATCAAGAGTTGTTAGGTTATACAGTATAACATACCAATCATAACACTCAGGATGAGCCAGAAGCCACTGAAATGAAAGAAACCTAGAACTCTATACTTACTTGTTCTGTTGGGAACAGAGTATTGATATATTCAACAGCATTGAAATCTGCTCGATCTAGAGGATCCTGGCTTGGAAATACCTATATAAAAACAAGTGGTTATATAGGAAAACATCAATTTGGACACCAAAATGCATATATAATTTTTGTCAGAAAGAAAATACATTTTTAAAAATAAGGGATTAGCAATAACTATGATCTTTCTACCGTATGTATTTTAATTTCTTCCCTATTAGACGTTAAGTTTCCTGAAGAGAAAAATTCTTTATTCATTTTGTATGCTTCACACATAACAGATACTTCAATAAAACAACTATTTAATAAACACCCAATAAAATATCTGTTAAAGTAAATCTTTAATTTTCACCATCTGTAGTTTTAACATCTTGGCAAAATGGACAGAACATGTAAATGTAAAAATGCAAATTTCATGTCAATGAAATCTCAAGGACAAGGAAAAGTCAGCAGGCTTTGTATACTCTTAGATTAAACCAGCTGGTGACATGGTTTATTAAGGAAGCCTTGATAAATTGTGCTAAGTCTCCATGATGTCTCAGCAGAATTCATTATGCATTGAAGCAATACATTTTTCTTGGCTGGGGTATTAAATGCATGGGCTCACACGTACTAAGCAAGCCATTGAACTATACACCCCTACTCTTCAATGAATCATATTTTATGCTGCAGACAATGTCAAGAAATGAAGAGCCCGCATTCAGGTTTACAAACGAAACCACCTTTGGAGAAATATGTCTAGATCCCTTTAAAAGTCACAATTTGAAGAACATGTAATAAGGTGGCTCATTAAAGCAATCAAGCCAGATGTGGTGATGCATGCCTCTAATTCTAGCACTGAGGGAAGCTGAGGAAGGAGTACTGTATTACATGTTCAAGCCCCACTACGGCAAGTCAGGGAGATAACTGTTTCCAAAAAGTTGGGCAGGGTGTGTAGCTCAGTGGCAGAGTGGCCCTGGGTTCAATTCCCAGCACCACCACCACAAAAAAAAAAAAAAGCAGTGAAGTCAGGCATGGGGACACATGCCTATAATTACAGCACCCAGGAGGTCAAGACAGTATTGCAAGTCCAACTCTAGCATGGGGAACTTAGCAAGACTCTGTCTCAAAAAATAAAAAATAGAAAATGACTGCAGATGCAGCTCAGCGTGAAGGCCCTAGGCCCTGGGTTCAATCCCCAGAACCAACCAATGCAGTCAAGTGACTTCCTGGATACTGAAGTTTTACCAGCTCAAGATAGTTATGATTCTGGGAAGCAACTTCTTCAAAGATGAAGGCTTCCAAAGAAATATAGCACATCAAAGGATCAAAATGTCTCCTAAGAGAGGTCAAACACAATTGTTAGAAGAGTTTAAGACATCTACAATGTGAAAAAGAGACAGAGGTAATGACGGTATTTTTTTCTTAAATGTTTAGCATTTCTGTAATATATATTTATGCAGAGATATGTCATATACCAGTGATGGCTAACCTTTTAAAGACAAGTACCCAAACTACAACCCAAAATCCACTTATTTATCACAAAGTATGAACGCTGCTATTAAACCTGAATACTGAGGTTTTAGTTTAGAAAAAAAAACTCATACATTAATATCTTTTGTGTAGCTCTGGTTTTTTTTGTTGTTGTTGGTACTGGAAATCGAACTCAGGACCTTGCACTTGCCAGGCAGGTGCTTGTGCCGCTGAGCTATATCCCCAGCCCTATCTTTTGTGTTAAAAAGAAAAACAACACATGTGCCATAGGTTCGCCACCACTGTCATATACAGATGTAACTTCAAATCATTTCACTCATATGCCCTTCCCAGAGGAACTGCTGGAAAATCTGCCTGCCATAAGAATTAGTGTCATCCTGAGTACGATCTAAGAGATGTGAATTAACCACTTCCTCAAGGTTTGCTCAGTTTCTGCATTCCTCTTACCATTCCTGAGTGTTATCCTAGGTTTTAATGTTTCTATATACTAACAAAGCTCTTAACTTAAACTAACTACTCCATCTGTGATAACCACAAAAAGTGATTCACTGAAATGCTAGATGAGAAAACTAACCCTAGATTTATCAAAGCAGTGCTTACACAATATATTTCATAGGCAATTTAAAGAATTTCAAACGTAACACGTCTATAGCAGCTTTCACTTTATGCAATGACTTCAGAGCTTAATCTCTGGGTAAAATGTGATTCCATTATATCAACCCTTTCTAATTCCTCAAATATCACTACTCTTGACAAGTATTGTTTGCAGGACTGTCAGCGTAGCTCAGTGTAACTAGTATGTGCAATGCCTTTGGCTTGATCCCCAGCACTGTAAAACAAAATATCCACATAAGTATTATTAGTAGATTTTTACTCAATCTTAGACTACTAAAGTATGAAGAACGTCTAAATTCATCTTGAGTCACATCAGATGTTTACTTACTAGATAAGCCTACTCTACGTCTCAAGCATATTCTTTAAAAATAGCAAAGTCTAAGATCTTCTGAATTCCTGTCAGTCAAACCATAACTGACTGCGTTCTGTTTCTCCCCTTAGAACCCACTAGGTCCAAGGATAACTGCAATGTATGTCTTTTTCTGGCGAGGAGGTGGGTCGTGGAGCAGTATGGTCTGAACACAAGGTTTCTGCCCTAGGCCCTGGCATCCTCAGGATGTAGCAAATGTGGTTTGTACAAGTTATCCTAGTGCTCCTAGAAAAATACCAACCCAAAAGTCTACAAATGGAACGATAAAAATACACTACTTAGTATGGTGGCAAAGCCATGGTATTACCGGTCAATCGATGTTACTTATTAGTGGAAGCAATGTTTTACTCAGAAAAATTTTCCAGTGGTCATTACGTGAGGTATAACTGTCCTTTTCCTAAATCATAACACCGCGACAATTCCTTTAGGGGGGATTTTCTGCCTTTACCCAGAGCAAAGCCCTGTACAAAGACACAACACGACTTCTAATATCATGACCCTTCAATTTGTAATAAACTTGAAAAGAAAAGTTCATTCCCTGAAGACATCCTGCAGGTAGGAGACGACTCCGGGGAATATTCTCCAATGTAACCCAAACAGCAGGAATTCTCAACCTTTTAAGCATGGTAAAAGGGGCATTTTTCAATATGTTCCTCTGCTCTGCCACTCGCTTCAGAAAGGTCTCCCTCCACCCCTCACTCCAGCAGGAGACGCGGGAGCAGCGGCACCAGCCTGATCAATGAATGAAGCCCCGCCCGTCTAGAACTTGACGCTGCCACTCAAGGGGCCCCTGCTTGTAGGTTCATCCTCCAAGTGCAGAGCTCCTTTGCGCAAACCCCCCAGGACGCCCCAGCCTCCAAAGAAAACGGGGGCCTAGAAAGAACGCTTTCTCGCCCCTGGCTCAGTAAGCCATTCCCCCACCCCGCTTCTCCTCAGCCCTTCACTTTCCCTCTGCGCTAAGCCCCAACCTTCTGGTCCTAACACCGCCTCCTCCCTGGGCCTTCGCAGGCCCCACCCACCCAGAGCCGCCCCGTGCCCCGCGCTTGCCTCCCCTGAGCGGGCGGAATGCTCACCTGCTCGATGGCGAGCTGCACCTCGGGCGTGAGCTGCAGCACGGCTTCCAGCTCCTCCACGAACTCCAGTTCCTCCTCCTCCATCTTCCCGCCACTTGGCCTCGAGGTCACTCCCTCCCCGAGTCCCCCACTCGACCTCCAGACTCCGAATAGCAACCCTGCAACTGCAGCGCTCTGACTAGCCCGGCTCTGTCAGCCAGCCCAGCACTTCCGGGAAGCCGGGTACTTCCGGGGTCCAAGGCATTCTGGGATACTGGAGACCTGCGCTCTGGAGGTTTCTCTGTCCCTTCCCAGGAGTCTTCCACCACCCCCTTAGCAGCGAGGTCCCTGCTTGCCCTCACCCCGTCCTTAAGATGGTGGGGTGCCTCCCGCTGAGGTGCCTGTGTCTGGGGAGAGCCTAGCCTCCGTGCTAGAAGCCTCAGGGACCGGCAGCGCCGGCAGCTTCGTGATGACAGACGCAACCTCAAGGGGCTGCGAAGCGGGCGATCCTTCAGTTCCCTGGTCCCTCTGGGTCGGGGGGCAGTAGGTGTTCCCCTGCCATCATGGGTGAAATGACCCCTCCTGGTAGGTGGCGATGTTGCCACGGACGTTTGAGGATGGGACAGCGTCCACTTGGTTCCCTGTGTGCCAGGTTCCTGGGGAGTTATTTCTAGGATGACCGAAGCTCCCTTTTGAGGAGAAAAGTAGATGAGGCAGACCCCCAGCTGGGGAAATATTTACTTTCTAAGACTGAGTATGAGGGGACCTAAGTCCTTGACTAAGTCCCCGGATAAACTTTGTGATCATGAACAGATTACATCGTGTGCCCTGCCTCCTCTGCCATCGGATGTTGTATGCATTAAATATTCAAAGCGCTATGCAGATTTAAACTAGTAATACCGGAAATACTAGGATGTCTAACTCTTCTGTACCACAAAGGGAGAAAGAAGCCAGATCACCCTGTGGAACCACTTTTCCTACAGTGAGGGAGTTGCCACCGAGGAAGGGTTGCTTTACCAGTTAAACACTGTGAAACCCCATAATGGAAAAGTCTTTGGCCTCACTGAGCTCTTTATTTTTAAAAATTCTACCAAAATTATTTATAGTAAGGAAAAAATGGAAACAACGTAATTTCTTTTATTTTTAATTTGACAAGTAGTAATGGTATAAACAATATAATTCTAACCAAAAGGGATAGTTAAAATATAAATCGGCTCTACAATGGAATATTATTGACTTATAAAATCATGGTTTTGAAAATTATTTAATGACCTGGGAAAAGGTATATAATGTATTTCAGAAAGCAAAGTGTACATTTCAGAAAGCAAAAATGTACGCGACCCCAATTTGTATGGCTATAAAATGATAGCAAGGAAATATTATTTTTCTGCATTTTCCCAAATGTCTGTAGTACCTTTTTTTTAAACCTGTAGTACTTTTATAATCAGAAAATATAAATGCCAGTTTTAAAAGGAAAAGGCAATTAATCACCTGTTGGTGTTTTTTTTTCATTTTAAAAATTAAGATATAACAGTAAAAGTCACCATTACAGTTTACAGTGCCATGAATTTCATAAATATATATAATCATGTAACTATAACCACAATCCAGTCAGGACATTTCCACCCTACACACACACACACACACACACACACACACACACACACACACATTCCTTCATGGCCGACTCCATCCTCTGGGGTGACCTGATTTTCATTCCTAGAGTTTGACTTTTCCAAAATATCCTATAAATTCTGTATAAATGTAATCATATAACATGTCATCTTTTGAGCCTGGCGTCTGTCATTTAGCATAATGCTTTTGGTGTTCATCCATGCCATTGCATGTAACAGTTTATTTCTTCTTGCTGAGTGGTATTCCACTATGGATATACCACAATTTGTTGGGTTCTTTCCAGTTTGGGGCGATTATAAATAAAACTACTATAAACTTCTATTGTAGATTTTTTTTTTTTTTCCACACAGGGTCTCGCTATGTAGTTCAGACTGGCCTGGAGATCACTTTGTAGCTCAGGCTGGTCTCGAACTTGCAAGAATTTTCCTGCCTCAGCCTCCCGAGTGCTGGGATTACAGGCGTGTGCCACCATGCCCTGCTACATTGTAGATTTTTGTGTAAACATAAATTTTCATTTTACTTGTGTATATTTAGAAGTCTGATTCTAACTTGTATGGTATGTCTATATTTGTAAGAAAATGATAAACTGCTTTCCAAATTGGCTCAATTATTTTCACATTCCTACCAGCAATGTATAAGACTTTTGGTTGTTCATAGACCTTATTTTTAATGATAATAATACCAACTAACATTTCTTAACCCTTACTTCATGCCAAACACCGTGCTAAGCATATTACCTACATTGTCCCTTTTAATGCAGCAATTTTCAAGTTGCTAGTTACCATTATCTTGATTTAACAGATGAGGAAATAGATCTAGGAAAAACAAATTAACAAACAGAAACTTGTGCAAGTCCCCATAGCTAGATTTGTCACTCATTCAATAAATTTATTTGCTGGGTGTGGTAGTGCACACCTATAATGTCAGCACTGGGGAGGCTAAGGCAACAGGATCATGAGTTCGAGGCTTTTGGTCAACATAGTAAGTTCAAGGCCAGCCTGTACTACATAGCAAGACCCTGTCTCAAAAAACTAAGATAATGCCAGGTGTGGTGGCACATGCCTGTAATCCCAGCACTTGGGAGGCTGAGGCAGGAGGAGCCTTGCAAGTTGGAGACCAGCCTGGGCTACAAAGTGAGCTCAAGGCTGGCCTGAACTGCATAGCAAGACCCTACCTCAGAAAAAGACCAAACAAACAAAAAACTAAATAACCAAAATAATAATAAATAAATGTATTGGACATTTGTTCCTTTGGTGAGGGGTACTAGGCTGGATGGTGGGAATTCAGCAGTGAACAAAATAGACTAAGTATCTGCCTCCAGAAAACTATTTCCATGTAAGAAAAGGATAGTCATATAAATAAACATATTATCTCAAGAAAAGAGCAAATGTACATATTAAGAGACTCTGTTGATGGATTGTTGGCTTTGGAGTCAGGGAAGGATTCTCTGAGGAAGCGATTTTTGAGCTGAAGCAGTGTGGTGAGAGCGAGCAGGAGATGACAAAGCAAAGGACAGAATACCAAAAGCCATGAAGAAGAAGGCCATGGGCCGGGTGAATGAAGCCTTGAAAGCCAAGAGGAGAATGGTGCAAGAGGCCAGAAAAATGGGTAGTGCCAGATGGTAGAGGGTATTGAAGATGGTGGTAAGGAATGGAAAGCCTCTGAAGGATTGTTAAGTAGAAGTGTGCCAGGTTCACCATGCTTGTCCTCAACCCAAGTCCCTCCATTTTTGTATCTCCACTTCTAAGCTGCCTGCATTACTGTGCAGAGTCTGAAGCCAGGGTAACCATACCCAGTACAAATTCATGCTATCTTATTTCCATCAACTGTTTTTATTCATTGTCAGCTGTCCATTGCATCCCCCTATGGCCCAAAACTTTTCATCCTCTGACACTCCCAACTCCACAATATCCTCTTTCTTTGCAGAAACACTAATAATAATGAATATAAGTTTAAGACAGTTATGTGGTACAAAAAAATATAGCAAGTTAACAAAACAGAGGTACAGGTGGAGATTAGGTGGAAAAAAAACCCTGCATTATGCCAGGCATGGTGGCACATGCCTATACAGTAATCCCAGCACTAGGGATGCTGAGGCAGGAGGATCAGTGCAAGTTTGAGGCCAGCCCAGGGTACATAGTGAGCTAAAGGCCAGCTTAAACTACACAGAGAGACCCTACCTCAGAAAAAAAAACAAAACAAAAACTTGCATTAGGATAAGTAATAACAGACTAGACTGATTGCTTATAAGTGAAAGAGGGAAATACTTTAACAGGAATAAACCTGGAAAGGCAGATTATGCATCAAAACTTTAAAGATAAATAAAATGTGGGAATTTATGGATATAAGAAATCTGAATATGAGAAGAAGCAAGCAATATTTGTACAATTGAGCTCAGTTTCAGTGTTTAAAAAGTCATTTTCTGTTATGCTATAGGATGGCATACAGCTGATGATGAAGTATTACAGAAAACATTTTCTACCTTGAAATCTCACTACTTCAGGCATATTCAGTCTCTAATACTTCCATCTCTAATACTTTAAAACAAAGCAAAAGCAAACCTCGAAGAACATATCCTTTGATAAGCAATGGGCTGGGTGGGGTGGCGCATGCCTGTAATCCCATCACTCGGGAGGCTGAGGCAGGAGGATCGTTGCAAGTTGGAGACCAGCCTGGGCCAGAAAATTAGCTTAAGGCCGGTCTGAACTGCATGGCAAGATCCTGTCTCAAAAAGACAAAAAAAAAAAAAAGGCAATGGAAGAAGAGTGAATTGGAAAAGCAGGTGTCCAGCAGCTTATGAGAGAGTTGTGTGATGCATTTGTGAGGAGACATCAAAGTGAGATGGAAAGAAAACAGAAACTCCCAAGTAAGGAACTCTTGTAACATTTCTCATTGTGCCAAAAAAATTGTATTAAGGATCTTCCCTCCTCCTCCTCCTTTTTGAGACAGAGCCTCACTAAGTCACTAAATTGCTAAGGCTGGACTTAAAACTTGCAATCCTCTTGCCTTAGCCTCTCAGAGAGCAAGGATTATAGTGTATTCCACCGGGTCAAGCTAAAACAGGGTCTTTATTCTATTTAAGCTTCCCTCTCAGGCTGAGTGTGTAGCTCCATAGTAGAACACTTGCCTAGTGTGCATGAGACCCTGGGTTCTACCCCCAGCAACACACACACACACACACACACACACACACACACACACACACACAATGTCTCATCACCAGGTCTATAACCACTAAGGGCCAATGGATAACATCTTCTCCCTACACTGATATGCCAACAATACCCCCACAAATTTCCAAACTGCCCCCAATGCTCTCAAGCACAATTGTATTTAGATCCTCTTGTCACAATGGATGGCAAGAGCTCCCAAATCATCCAGATCATCTTGCAGTGGAAAATATATTCTGTGTGTGTGTCTTTGCTGGGAATTGAACCCAGAGCCTCAAACATACTAGACAGATGCTCTGCTACAGGGCTATATCCCCAGCCCTCTAATTTAATTTCTATGTGAAATCTTGCTCATAATGATCTGTTCGAGCCTTTTTAAAGGACTATTTTCAGTACATGATTTTCTTTCTTTCTTTTTCTTTTCTTTTTTTTTTTTGGTACCGG